GTATATATATATCACGCTGTGTATATATATATATATATATATATATATACTGATAATTTGTACGATGCCATTTCAAATTTCTCTTGAATAAATATATTTTGTTTTTCCTGTAGAAAAAATGATTAAGATAAAGTTTATTAACAAAAATCTCTGACTTTAAAGGGAAAATATGGCTATTTTGGTAGGTGGTGCAGTATCCCATCAAATTCGGAAGCCTGATATGCCCCTTCCCTTTCATCTTTGTAATATTCTTTCACTTCACTCAGAAAAGGTCTTAATATTTTCCGTTCCTTACCTGATTTTAAATCGTTCTCCTCCTTCTGCTCTTATTCTCATTTGAGAGCAAATTGTTGGATACCTATGTAAGTTTACCGTTTCTGTACGCAGACGTACTTCTCTTTGGGCTTGATGGCACCTCCTCTGCCAAAGCTTCTATGATCTCTCTTAAGGCTAAAATTATGAGTAACTGGTATGCTATCGTGGTTGCATCTACACCTGCTACACTTGTAACACCTCGGACATTTTGCTATTTTACATTTGCAGATTAGCTTTGAATCCAACCTCGTTTCCAACTCGAAAAGAACAAACACTCAGAGATTCTGGTTCGTTGTCACAGCAGTTCCTCAAAAATGGGGTTCCATAATCGCTGTCATTTTTCAAATATACCAAGTGTAATGCCCGACAACGTAAACATCTGGTGATAAAAACCGAGTCCTCTTGATTATTGTATTGTGAACATAAGTGAACTGAGTGCTGACAAAACCCTGGAGTGAAACATGGAAACAAATTCCAGTTCATTTTCAAACAAACTCGGCACTTATTTTACACACGGAAAATGTGAACAAGTAGCACATTCATCAAAGCAAATGAATTGAACTGAGGCCATTTCAAACGAATCCAGTGTGAGTAGTCTCTAAAACTTCTTATGTCGTAACCCTACTGGTCTGACGAATTCTGGTGTTGAAGAAATCGTCTCGCCAAGAGCAGAAACAAGTGTAGAAGATGAAATGCTATTTTAAACACTTCTTGCTGAAAATATATGTTTTATGATTTATTTCATTAAATTTAGTGTTACGTAACGTTACTTTTCGCTAGTATAGGGGTTGTACATCATAGGGATTGATGAATCAAGTGTAGTGAAAAAGTTTCGTATTTCTCTTGACTAGGAGGAACTTGATAATCTTTCATCCGTACACCAGAAAGAGTTGGAACAGTTACGAGAGCTAGAGGAAGCAATTATGAACCTGCGAGCTGACTACGAAACTGTCATGGAGGAACGTCGGTGCATCCAAGAAGAGAGTGAACGCTTGCAGGCCGAGTTCGAACGACACACTAAAGCCGTCATACTGATTCAAGCCTACTGGCGTGGCTTCTTTGTCCGTCGGCAGCTAAAAGGGCGGAATAAATCTGGCAGGTCGTCACGCGGGAAAGGGAAGAAAGGCAAAGGAGAAAAGAGAAAAAAGAAAAATTAAGGAATACACATACATTACAAATTGTTTCTATGACTGGATTTAGATACACATACATTATTGAATGTTTCTATAGCTGGGTTAAGGTAGATATATATTACTAAAGGTTTCTATAGCTGGGTTAAGGTAGATATACATTACTGAATGTTTCCAGAGCTGTGTTAAGGTAGATATACATTACTGAATGTTTCCAGAGCTGTGTTAAGGTAGATATACATTACTGAATGTTTCC